TCAAAACACATCGAAGCACCACCACCCAACCATCTCCACAAGTGACACACTCAAGGAATTGACTCAGTGGGTACCAGAGCCCTGCTACAGTAAGTCTTGCTCTGTGTGGTGGGCCCCTGCACAGCTGATCCTTCAAGGTAGTCAGAGGTCTGTGGTCAGTGGGCACAGCCAGTCCTTGCAGCTGATCAGCTTGAGTAAAGCCCTCCCACTAACGTGCCAACAGCAATCAAGATTCCATTACAACAGAAGGGTAGATAGTCCACATGAGGGGTGCACCTCAAGGGCTTAGCTGGGTGACCAGGGAGGCTGTGATACTGACCCTTACACGATACCTACTATAACAGGCCACCTTAGGAAGCCTAGGAAACATAGCAACTCTACCTAATACATAGAAACAAACACAGAGAGGCAGCCAAAATGAGGAGACAAAGAAACATGTCCCAAATCAAAGAACAGAACAAAACTCCACGTAAAGAACTAAACGAAATGGACATATGCAATCTGACAGACCCAGAGTTCAAAGCACTGCTTATAAGGGCGCTTAATGAACATAGTGAGAATTTCAAGGAACACTGTGAGAAAGTCAAGGAACTTAGTAAGGACCTCAAGAGCATAATAAAGGCCCAGATAGAAATGAAGGATGCACTAAATGAAATAAAGAATAATCTAGACTTCCAGTCAAGATGGTGGCGTAGGTAAACGCAATATCGCGTCCTCCCACAACCACACCAAAGTTACAACTACAGAACAACCATCATTCAAAACCGCCTGAAATCAAGCTGAATGGAAGTCCTACAACTACGGAATTAAAGCAGCAGCCACATGGAGACTGGTAGGAGGGGTGGAGGCGTGGACGGGCTGGTTCCACACCCACGTGTAGCGGATAAAAATTAGGACACCTCGGCTGGGAAGGACCTTCCTGAGGACCGAGGGATCCCTGTCCCACACCAGGTGCCCCGCTCAGGGTTCCAGTGCCAGGAATAAAAGTCCCCATAACTTTTGGCTGGAAAAACCAGCAGGAACTAAGGCTCAGGGAGGCTGAGGCAGGTGGAGCCCCAGGCAGCTCCTCTTAAAGGGCCCGCACACGGACTTGCTCCCTCTAAGCTTGGAGGGGAGGCAGCTCAAGGGGCACCAGAGACATATGGGGAAAAACTGAGCTGTTTGGCATTGGAGCGAGAACTGGAGAGGGGGCTTTCTCCTGGACAAACGTGCTGTCAGAGGCCTTTGTCCCTTTAGTGAGCCCTTCCCTGGGTTGGCAGACAGCCGCCATATCTGAGACTCCAGCAACCTGGCTCACACTGGTAGCCCCGCCCTGGTGATTTCCTAAGGCCCCACCCCACCCAACATTCAGGCCCACCCAAGCTGTTGCCAGTTGCTTTACCAGAGGATTGGCCTGTCTTGGATTCTGCTTCAGGTTTTCATAAAGTCTTTCAAACAAGCAGCATCTGGTCTCAGCTAGCCCCATACCTCTCATTAAGTAATACACAGAAACAAACACAGGGAGGCAGCCAAAATGAGGAGACAAAGAAACAGGTCCCAAATGAAAGAACAGAACAAAAGCCTAGGAAAAGAACTAAGCAAAATGGAATTAAGCAACCTAACAGATGCTGAGTTCAAAATACTGCTTATAAAGATGCTCAATGAACTTAGTGAGAACCTCAGCAAACTTAATGAGGGCCTCAAGAGCATAAAAAAGGACCACTCAGAAATGAAGGAAGGAAATGAAGGAGGCACTAACTGAAATAAAGAATAATTTACACAGATTCAATAGTAGAGTAGATAAAGCCAAGAAGCAAACCATTGATTTGGAATATAAGGAAGCAAAAAAAAACACCCAATCAGAACAGCAAAAAGAAAAAAGAATCCAAAAAAAAATGAGGATAGTGTAAGGAGCCTCTGGGACAACTTTAAGCATGCCAACATTCTCATTTTGGGGGGTGCCAGAAGGAAAAGAGAGAGAACAAGAAATCGAAAACCTATTTGAAACAATAACGGCAGAAAACTTCCCTAACTTGGTGAAGGAAACAGACATACAAGTCCAGGAAGCACAGGGAGTCCCAAACAAGATGAACCCCAAGAGGCCCACACCAAGACACATCATCATCAAAATGCAAAAGGTTCAAGACAAAGAGACAATCTTAAAACAGCAAGAGAGGCCCTGGCCGGTTTGGCTCAGCGGTTAGAGTGTCGGCCTGCGGTCCTGAGAGACCCGGGTTCGGTTCCCGCTAGGGGCACGTACCTCGGTTGCAGTTTGTCCCCGGCCCTGGTCGGTCGTGCGGGTGGCAGCCACTCGATGTGTTCCTTTCGCATCGATGTTTCTCTCTCTCTCTCTGTTCCTCTCTCTCCCTCCCACTCTACCTGAACAAAAAATGGAAAAATGTCCTCGGGTGAGGATAAAAAAAAAAAAAAAAAACAGCAAGAGAGAAGCAGTTAGTTACCTACAAGGGAGTTCCCATAAGGCTGTCAACTGATTTCTCAAAAGAAACGTTGCAGGCCAGAAGGGAGTGGCAAGAAATATACAGAGTGATGAAATGAAAGAACCTACAACCAAGATTACTCTATCCTGAAAAGCTGTCATTTAGAGTCGATGGCCATATAAAGAGTTTCCCAGACAAGAAAAAGTTAAAGGAGTTCATCACCACCAAACCATTATTATGTGAAATGTTGAAGGGTCTTTTTGAAGAAAAAGATAAAATACATGAACAAAGAAAATGGCAATGAATACATATCTATCAACAAGGGAATCTACAAACAAAACAAACAAGCAGAACAGAAACAATCTCATAGATACAGAGACTATTTTGCTGGTTGCCAGATGGGAAGGGGGTTGGGGGAATGGGTGAAAAAGGTGAAGGGATTAAGAAGTAGAAATTGGTTGCTAGACTGACAAACCTCAAAGGGAAGGGGGTTGGGGAGTGGGAATAAATAAACCAAAGAACTTATATGCATAACCAATGGACACAGACAACAGTGTGGGGAAAGGCAGCAGGGGGGTGGGAGTGGGGAGGAGGGGATCAATGAGGGGGAAATGAGGAACATCTGTAATACATTCAACAATAGAATAAAATAAAAATAAAAATAAATAAAAAGAATAATCTACAGGGAATCAATAGTAGAGTAGGTCCAGCCAAGACACAAACCATTGATGTGAAATATAAGGAAGCAAAATTCATCCAATCAGAACAGCAAAAAGAAAAAAGAATCCAAAAATGAAGATAGTATAAGGAGCCTGGGGGAAAACTTCAAGAATACCAACATTCACATCATGGGAGTGTCAGAAGGCGAAGAGAGAAGGCAAGAAATCGAAAACCTATGTGAAAAAATAATGACAGAAAAGTTCCCTAACTTGGTGAAGAAAACAGACATACAAGTCCAGAAAGCACAGAGAGTTTCCAACAAAGATGAACACAAAGACATCCACACCAAGACACATCATCATCAAAATGCAAAAGGTTAAAGACAAAAAGAATATTAAAAGCAGCAAGAGAAAAGCAGTTAGTTACCTACAACAGAGCTCCCATAAGGCTGTCAGCTGATTTCTCAAAAGAAACTTTGTAGGCCAGAGGGAGTGGCAAGAAATATTTAAAGTGATAAAAAGCAAGGACCTACAACCAAGAGTCCTCTATCCTGCAAAGCTATCATTTAGAATAAATGGACATATAAAGAGTTTACCAGATAAGAAAAAGCTAAAGGAGTTCATTACCACCAAATCAGTATTATATGAAATGTTGACGGGTCTTCTTGAAAAAGAAGATAAAAAAATATGAACAATAAAATGGCAATAAATACATATCTATCAACAACTGAATTTACTAACAAAATGAGCAAGCAGACCAGAAATAGACTCATAGATACAAAGAAAGTTTTGTTGACTGCCAGATGTGAGGGGGTTGGGGGAATGGGTGAAAAAGGTGAAGGAATTAAGAAGTATAAATTGGTTGTTAGACTGATGAACCTCGAAGGGAAGGGGGAGGGAAGGGGAGGCAGGAAGAGATAAACCAAAGAACAGAAATGCATCGATGCATAACCAATGTACATAGACAATAGTATGGGGAAGGCGGCGGTAGGGGTGAGATCAGGGAGGAGGGGGTCAAAGGGGTGAAAAAGTGGAGACATCTGTAATACATTCAACGATAGATAATTAAAAAAACAAATAAACCTTCAGCCGATGAGGGTCACTGGTTGATCATCTACCCATGCACCAAGAGGTCATCAGTTCGATTCCTGGTCAGGGCACATGTCCAGGTTGTGGGCCTGATCCCCAGTAGGGGCATGCAGGAGGCGGCCAATTGATGTTCTGTCTCATCGATGTTTCTCTCTCTCCCTCTCCCTTCCTCTCTCTCTAATATCAATAAAGAAAAAATATTTTAAAAAATAATAAATAAAGCTAATGTACTTTCTCTTAGAAAGCCCTACCTCCCTAAATCATACTACAAAAGTTTTCCAAAAGAAAGAATGAATTGTTTAGAAAGAATATAAACACTGGTGTTTTCTTCCACATAAACAGGAAGATAAAGAGTAAGTATGCACCTACTTTTTTTTTTTTAGTTAATTCTATAGTAAATACAAGAACTCGAACACATTTGTCTTTAGTAATGTCTAGCTCAAAGTGTTCCTAGAAATGTCCTTTTCTCCAAATGAATAAAAAAAATGCAAAGGTAGAAAACAATTTGGAGAGATTTGGGCAAAAAAGAGTACCATCATGATGAAAATAAAAGAGCTATGTTTTAACTATTATAAGCACAGAAGTAAAAGAAATATAGGCTTGCAAAGGTGATAAAAGCACAATATCTAGAAATATATTTATTATAATAAAAGACAGCTTTAAATACACCCATCCTCTAGACAATTCATAACATGTTAGCATAAATACTACGGACACTTAGATTTCCTCAGGGTTTTTTTCTTAGACAAGTAAATGTCCTCCATTTGCAACTTGTCTGTGTACCGGTTTAGGAACTAGCTTTCTCAAGGCCTCTTGATGACAAATTAAGTAGTACCTTTCTTTGCTGGTGGTTCATCTTGTTGAAGTTCATTTTCATTTAATCTTTTTTTTCCTGGATAATTTTTAGTTTTGCTGTCCTTAGGAGTTGCATTACAAGCCAATTTATTGTTTATTATTAATAAAGATGTACCAGCCTTGTTCTAAAATAAAATAAAGTCAGATTAGTGCAATATAAAAAGCTATGATAAATGTAAAAACTATATAAATTGTTTCCATAGTCTAGCATAAAAATTTTATTTTCAAATTTGTTGAAAGATTTCCAAGCTATTTCCTAAGTCTCACCCTAAAATAACTAATGGCTCTGCAAATGTGTAATATTAACTGTGTACACTCACTAAGGACAAAAAGAGCTTGTCTTAAAGTCAGTTAAACATGTAGTTTCACCTAATACATAAAAATAAATTCATCTTTAGATTTTCTAAGGTGATCAGGTGAATTACAGACTTGTTTGAGAATAACTATAGAACCCTAAAACACCTACCCCTAAGTCACATATGTAATGTGCTCTGAAAAGAAAAATACAAAAACACTAAGACAAAATTGTTTCTTAAACTTTTACTTAAAACCTTCAGCTCACACTCTAAAAATTCAACAAGAGTTTTGTTTTGTAACCAAACCCTCTCAAAGACAAGTACTAATGTCTTACACTTTAAGAACTCCCATGAAAAGTTTTGACCATAGCCTCTAACCCATGTATATTCAAAGACAAATAGGCTACATACAGCTTTAGATTTGAGTTCTTAGTTTATCTAAATGATAAAAATCTCTCGGATTTTTTTTTTTTTAAGGCAGGTACTATGCCTCTCTAAAAGGCTGGCAGAAAGGAGGTACAATACAGTGTTATCCAGAAAGAGGAAGGTAAAACTCAGCAGCTAAGTGCACAGCTATAAAGTAATCAAAGGTACAGTATAGACACGGATTTTTTTTTAATGCAGAGATTACTTAAATCCCTATATATTGGTAGCAATCCATTTTGAAAAAAAAATTTATAAGAAAACAAAATGCCATGTACATTATAAAATCAGCAAACATTTTATTCTTAAGATAAAGATAAAATTACTTTTTAAGTTGTGGATTATTGAAAAAAAATGTTTTCAATAAAACATTTCAATAATGTTTTCAAACATTATTCAAACAGTCAATAAAACATCCGTAAAAGCAATGTTTTTAAGAGATATCTTTAAACAAAGGATGTCATGAAGAACAATCTCTGTGCTTTCTCACAATTAGCACCTTGGTGTTACTGATAAATGACAAAATCCTGGGATAGATGATCACACCTCTGACAGAGCTAGAGAGTTTTCAACTCCATGACAGGTTCAGCTGTCTCCTTCCCTCACTCTTAAACCTATCATAATGACCTGATTATTTTTTTCACCTTCATATTATACAATCCTCACCAAAAAAATCTATCCTCCACAGCTCAGTTATTGAAAGTAATGTTTTCTTTCAATAACTAGGGTATGTTTGGTTGAAAGAACCATAAGGAACCGCCATTCAAAATAACCACCATTTTCCATCATTAGAGTCACTTTCAAGACCAACTTTGGAACAGTGACCCTAGATCAACAGTTAATGAGCACAGTCTGGTTAAGTTCCAAACTACTTCTTACTTTTTATTTATGTATTTATGTGAACAATTTAGCACTGTTATAAGTTAGCTGATAACTGTTTATAGGCAAGGACTACTAAATTAGAAATAAGCTTATTTTATATTGCTTTTTTACTATTACTTAAACATTACTAACACATACTATAGAAATTAATGCAAACATACTACAGAAATAATTATTATTCCTTGTTAAATTATGAACAATTTTCTTTGAAACTGTACCACCAGAATGATCTCTCTGCTTTATTTTTCTTGTTTTTATGTTCCTTCACCAAACCAAAGATCAGACATAACATCCAAATCAAGTGATCAGAGCAAAAGCATGTGGTAAATAAACAAACAAAAGTGCTGAGAGCCTTGAGGCCCAGCAATTTAGTTACTGGAAAATGCAAGCCCTACATTCCAAAAAGTTTATCAACCCTCTTATTTCACAAATAAATCTGTTCTTCTTAAACCCTGCCACCACTACTCAACTATCCTAAATCAAAGGCCTCATGAACTATGACATGAACTCTTTCAAGAGGCTTCTAACTGGTTTCTCTGCCTCCAGTCTAATTCCATCTCAATCCCATCCTCCAAGTTTCCAAAAACATCTACTCAAAAAAAAAACCAACTTTGCTACTCCACTACTTAAAATCACTGACTCCTCACTATCTACAGAATAAAACCCAAATTCTCGAATGCACTGCTTATAGGCCTTCCACCATCTTACCCCAATCTACCCCCTGCCTCACTTCTCACCTTGCCTTGCATCAAGCTTTCTTCTTGAACAACAAATTACTTATACTTTCCTGACTGAAAGGCTTCTCATTTCCATGACTTTGTGCATGCTGACTGTTACTACTGAAGGTCAATATATCTTCTTGTCTCTTGTGGCTATGAACTACATACACCCTCTGTCTACTTTAAACCAGCTAAAAATTTTAATCACCCTTTAAAGCTCAGCTTAGTCATTTTCATCTCCAGAAAGTATTCCCTAAACACCGCCTAATTCTCAGCTTCTTGCACATACTGACTACCAATGCACTTTTCACTATTATTGTGTTTATGTGGTTTCTCTCTTACTGGGGAGTTGTTAAGGGGACTACATTTTATTAATCTATGTAATTCCCAGAATCTAGCATAGTACCCGACACAGTACCCACTCAGTAAGTGTTTCTTAACTGAAATAATTTTATGCTTCTCATCCTTACTCTCTGCGTTACAATGATGTTTCTCTCAGTTCGGGCACAGAAAATCGGATTAAATAGCCCAGATAATAAATACCAATAGAGAGGCCTGTGACCAGAGATTAGACAGAAGGTAAGCCACTCTTCTAGAATGCTTATTTACCCTTGTAGTATCCAAAGCCCACCTAAAGTTGAGATGATTCAAAGAATGTTGGTGGGTATGAGAGTATGACTGTCAAGATACAAAAGAGGGTCAATAGTCACATAAGATACCACTCTTGCTTCTTCTGGTCAGAAAAAACATATACAAAAGCACCTCTAAATCAAGTAGAGGTGTTTGGATATTAGGTTACTCAGTCTATTACGTTATTACCATATATTTTACCATTTCTACTTAAGAAATAACTTGAAGCTTGCAATAAACACCCTAAGGGAAAACCAAAAACCAGTGTTTAAGCATCATCCCATGTACTGAGAAGTTGCTAGTTCAATTCCTGTTCAGGGCACATGCCCAGATTGTGGGCTTGATCCCCAGTAAGGGGGCATGCAGGGGGCAGTCAATCCATGTTTCTCTCTCTCTCTCCCCTTCCTTCCCTCCCTCTCCCTTTCTCTCTAAAATCAATAAAACATATTAAAAAAAAAAAAAAAAGATAGGCTAATCATCTTAGACTAAACTAATTGAATATGAAATTACCTAAATTTGTATTTATGAAACCTTTAAAGGCCACAGTACGTAATGGAATGTTTTAAAGAAAATATCCTAGCTTAATTAAGCATACGAACATTATCCAAAATGCATACAATAAAAACAAGTTTCTAAGGAAAAAAACACCTTATTTTACCAAGTTTCATTTATAGTTCTATATATACATACAGATATAGATAGGTTTAGATAAAGTGATAGGGATCTTTATGATCTGTGGCTATCTAAGCATATCAAAGTTCCTTTTACCCCAGAGCTCCCCTTCCAACTAGCTGAGGCTTAAACTTGCAAGGGCTAGAAATTCTTCTCATACCATATTCTTCCATATATGTTCAAGAGGCCAAATGACCTCCTCTAAGTTCTCAACAATTCATATTTGCACAACAGTAAACTGAATTCAAGAACAGAATAAATAATTTAACATTCTTAGAAAATTAGTCTGTTATTTAAGCCATTTTAAATTATTTTGAATCAAAACATACTTTTTAATGTAATTTATAATGCAGAAAAATAAAGTTAAATTCTTACACTGCTTTGAAATGTGTCTTCCACATGAAATTTTAGGTTCTGAAAGTTGTTAATAGTATCCTCTTTGTGATCAATTATATCTTTCAACTCTTGAATTCTTTGATTCTGCATAAGTATTTTCTTTGGAAAGAAGAAAAATAGCAGTGTTTAGTAAATATATTTAAGGATAACTAAAATACAAATACAATGCAGTTTTAGAACTCTTTCAAAATTTGGGGGGGGGGGGTACATGCCCTTAGCGGGAACCGAACCCGGGACTCTCTGGTCCGCAGGCCAACGCTCCAACCGCTGAGCCAAACCGGCCAGGGCAGAACTCTTTCAAATTTTAAGACTAAGTAAAAATACCAGAGATCACACACTATGCACAGCATGGTATTTTTGTTTTAAAGATAACATGTTTAGCCCGGGCTGGGGTGGCTCAGTTGGTTGGAATGTCATCCCATGCACTGGAAGGTCTCAGTTTTGATTCTAAGGTTTCAGGTTTGATCCCAGGTCAGGGCATGTACGAGAAGCATGTACAGGATATGTACCTCTCTCACATTGATGTCTCTGTGTCTCTGTCTCTCTAAGGTTTCAGGTTTGATCCCAGGTCAGGGCATGTATGAGAAGCATGTACAGGATATGTACCTCTCTCACATTGATGTCTCTGTGTCTCTGTCTCTCTCTCCCTTCCTCCCTCTCTAAAATAAATTAAAATAATGTGTTTATAAAAACAAAGGAAAGAAAAGCAATATAGCCCTGGCCGGTTTGGCTCAGCGGTTGGAGCGTCGGCCTGCAGACCAGAGAGTCCCGGGTTCGGTTCCCATTAGGGGCACGTACCAAAAATAAAAAAATAAAAATAAAAAAGAGAAGCAATATAGCATATTGGGTAAGAGAAATCTGTATTCAGACTCTCTAGGTTTGAATCCTTATTGTTCTACCTTCTACCTGTGGCACCCTGGGCAAGTTATTTAATGTCTCTGTAAAAACCAAAAATAACAGTATCCACATCAGAAAGTTGTTCTGAGATTTAAATGACTTAATATATGCAAAGCACCTAAAAGAATACATAGTAAGTGTTCTATAAAAAAAATATATAAAGTAAATGTCTAAAAGAGCTACCAACCAACTTATTGATTTTTCTCCCTTTTTTGTAATTCAGGAGAAAGATTACAGGGGACTTTTTAAATTTTCTATCTTGTATAGTTTAATATAACTGAATTTTTACAAATAGGATCTACTATTTTTATAACTAGAAAAAAGGTAAAAGGTTAGGAATGGTCTAAACAGTAGCTGTAATGTCTTCTGCTAAGTACATTACTGTGGCTATTTCTTTAAATACTGGGTATTAGACACCAAGATCTTGAGTTATTTATATCTGAGCATATCTTTTTTTTTATCCTCACCCAAGGACATTTTCCCATTTTTTGTTCAGATAGAGTGGGAGGGAGAGAGAAGAGAAACATTGACGTGAAAGGGACACATCGAGTGGCTGCCTCCCGCACGACCCCATCCGGGGTTGGAACAAACTGCAACCAAGGTATGTAGCCTAAGCGGGAACCGAACCTGGGTCTCTCTGGACCACAGGCCAACGCTCTTAACCGCTGAGCCAAACTGGCCAGGGCTATATCCGATCATATCTTCAAGTATTTAGTTCTTCAATAGGATGAATGTAAGTTAAAACAAGACTCATGCCAAAGAAGGTCAGAAAACATCGTAACTTTAGAGTTCTAAATTTACTTCATCTCCATGTATGCTTATAATTTCATATTTAGACCTATCAATGTCAAATCTATCTACAACCATTTGGAATGGTTATCTGATCTAAAGGGAGAAGATGCCAGAGATCTTCAGAATTCTAATGCTGCAAACTACTCAGGCCATATCTCATAATTTAAAATACTCAGTAATGTGAGACAAAATAAATATAGTTTAAATCATATAATCATCACTATGTACCTAGCTAAAAAAAATGACATAGATCTGTATATGCTGATGTATTAATCTCCAAGACATCTTTTAAGGGCATAAAGCAAGACACAGAACCATAATCCCATTTGTGTAAACTCTAACAAATGTGTGTATGTGTATGCATGTATGTGTTATATTATATATATATATATGTAAATATTTTCTGCAAGGGCTGAGATATGAAGGTGAAGATACGTCTTTTTTCAATATTTTAATCAATTCATTTATTACTTTAATTGTGTTTAAAATAAATTTACCTTGTCATAATTCATGCCCCTTCATTACTTATCAAGTTCTTTATCAAGACAAAAATAAAGCTTAAAGTATTACCTCATTAGATTTCTCAAGCTCTTCAGCCAATGAATTTAAGTTAATTTCTGACTCTGCAAAAAAATTAAAATACTGAAAAAAACATCTAAGCACCTAAAATAATATTATCACTAAATAATCACAAAACATAAGCTGCTACAGTAGACAGTTCAAGTAGTGTTATCTTCAGGAAAAAGAATTCTGACAGTATCAGAAGCACACAGCACTCAGCTACTAATTCTATCATCAGAGGGTAATGTTTTTGAAAAATCTACTTTAAACACTCAGAGTAAAAATGAATGACATATGCTAAATAGTAAAATATTTCTAGCATAACTTTAGAGAAGAGAAGGAGCTAGTACCTTTCTGACTGCTTTATAATGTAGAGGCACAACTTACCTATTTTCTTTCTTTTTTAAATCCTCACCTGAGGATATTTTCCCATTTATCTTCAGGGAGGGAGGGAAGGGGGGAGATAGAGGAAGGGTGGAAAGGGGGGAGATAGGGAGAGGGAGAGAGATAGAGAGGAAGGGGGGGAGAGAGAGAGGAAGGGAGAGAGAGAGAAAAAAAAAGAGAGAGAGACATCAACTGGCTGCCTCCCACACAACCCCAACCAGGGCCGAGGACTGAACTACAACCGAGATATGTGATCTTGAACAGAATAGAACTCTTTGGTCCATGGGCCGACGCTCTAACCGCTGAGCCAAACCGTCCAAGGGCCTTCTTTTAAAATAAACATATATATATTCACGTGCACACACACACAATTGATTCAGAGAGAGGAAAGGAGAGGGAAAGAGAAATAAAAACATAGATGAGAGAGAAACATCAATTGGCTGCCTCCTGCACAGCCCCTACTGAGGGTCGAGCCTGCAACTAAGGCATGTGCCCTGAACAGGAACTGAACCAGCAACCTCCTGGTGCATGAGAAACGCTCAACCAACTTAGCCACACTAGATAAGCTTACCTGCTATTTTCTACCTATCTTGTTTCAAAGAAAAGGGCACAGTATTTCATCTAACTCTCTTGAAACCCAGATATGATCATCAGAGCTAGAATAAAGCATCAATCTAACAGACTTCTTGAGACCTCTCACAAGAGTCACTCTATCCCAATCTTGCAAGCCAAGAGTAGACTTTACTACTGAATGAATTCATTAAAAATATGGAAGAGTTCATAAACAATAAAGAACAAAATTTACAGCTTTACAACTTCCCATGAGATTTCTTAATTTGCTCATGAACTAATACTAGTTTTTTTTTTGAGAAGTCCATTTTCTAATAATATTAATATAAAACTAAATAAAAGCAAACATATATTTTAATAGTAAATTACTATAAAGACATAAAAACGGTAAAATACTAACTATGTTAATCCAATCAAATAATTTTCTGGTCACTATGGTAAGTAAGTTGCATAAATCTCTTCTACTGTCTTGGCCAATGGCTCAGTTGGTTAGAGCATTGTCCTATACACCAAAAACGTTGCATGTTCGATTCCCAGTCAGGGCACACACATACCCAGGTTTCGGGTTCAATCCCCGGTTGGGGCATGTACGAGTATGAGGCTGTTTCTCTCTCACATTGATGTTTCTCTCTATCTCTATCCCTCTCTCTTCCTCTCTCCCTAATATCAATAAACATATCATCAGGTGAGGGTTTAAAAGAAAAAGAGCTCTTATACTAACCAGCTGTCTTTTTATACATTTATATCATCCAAGTATGAGTAAAATACAGCTACTTACCATTTTCTCTCTTTTTTAACTCTTCCTGGGTTTTGATTAATTCTTCTTTGGTTTTAGCTAATTCAGCTTTAACTTGATTAAACTTTATTTCTAAACAAGCAATAGCTTCCTGGGGGTCAGCAAGAGATGCAATATATAAGTGAGCAATTTCAGCCTGTTTCTTAATATCAGTGACATCATCTTGAAGAGAATCAATAATATCTTCAATTCCTACATAATTATGTGCTTCCTAAAAATAGCAAAAACCACATGCCTAATGTTAACAGTGGCTTTCACTCTTACAGTGAGATACCATCTGATTTAGACAGTTTTAAAAATACATAGCAAAAAAATTAACAACTTGAAATCATTTAAAATAAATTATATCAAGTATTTCCAATTATGAAAAAGTTGTGTTCTATTATTCATTTTCTGTTTTATGGAACATGAGACATAGATCCCCATTCAAAACAATGTTGTAAACTATGGTAACATCATACAACAATTATGATTATCTAGTTGTTATACTTTCAGTTATAATAATGAGTCTTCAAAGGTTTTGTTGGGACAACCAAGAAACAAAGCTCCCTTTTCCCAGCTTAGACCAAGACCCAAACCATTTCAGGAACACAATGACAGTTTTTGACAGCAAGAGCCTGGACATCACCAACACAGGCCCCCAAACTGAGTAATTAAAAAATGAAACAAGCCCTGGCTGAGTGGCTCAGTTGGTTGGAGCACTGTCCTGTGCACCAAAAGGTGGTGGGTTCTATTCCCAGTCAGGGCATATGTAGGAGGCAGCCAATCGATGTTTCTCTGTTTCTCTCTCCCCTCCATCTTCTAAAATCAACAAAAATAAAACAACAAATAACCTCAAAGGGATGTGATCAATTTCAGCTTCAGTGGAAACAGCAGAAAAGAATAATGTTTCTTCAATAGTAGGAAATGGTTAGTTGTCTAGCAAAAGCTATCCTTTTTATATATAAACATTTTTTGTTTTAATCAGGGCAGTAAGTAAATGGCCCCATTAGGTCCCTTATAACTTTAAAATTCTTTAAGTTTAAGACAAATCTGAGAAGAGTATCCCACGATCAGACCAAAGGGAACCTACCTACCTACAATCAACACGACTCAAGCAACACCAAAATGAGATACAAATGTAAGAGATACAAATTTTCCAAGTCCAAAGCTATATTTAAGTTATGTGTGTTTACATTTCTAACAAATAATACTTAATTATAAAAAGCTATGCCCAGCCAGTGTGGCTTAGTAGCTGAGCTACATAGTAAGTCTTTTAATTCTAAAATACATTAATGTTTCACATCATTTAATTGACGTGGTACATTAAATCCTGGTACCAAAATCCTCAACAGATTTCATACTTCAGTTAACATACTTTGGTTTCAACTTTCATTGCACAATCTTGATTTACTGGTTCTTCCTGAGGGTCAGTTTTACCAACCAAATCTTTGAAGATGGCCAAACGACATTCAGCATTTTCTTCTAATATCTCTCGTTCCTGACGGAGTGTTTCCCTGCAGAACAAATGAATCCCATTAACAATGAATAAAGGACTATCTTGTGTTTTGTTTTAAATTTCTAAGATTAAGAACATTATAAATTAAAATAAGATTTAAGTAATTATCCATGTATAATTCAGAATCATCATGGAGATTAATAACAGCTATTTTTAAGCCTATAAAGTGAGAATTCAGAGACTTCCGGTCAAGATGGCAGGTAGGTAAACGTGGTATCGCGTCCTCCCACAACCACATCAAAGTTACAACTACAGAACAACCATCATTCAAAACCGCCTGAAATCAAGCTGAATGGAAGTCCTACAACTACGGAATTAAAGCAGGAGCCACATCCAGACTGGTAGGAGGGGCAGCGGCGCGAGGGGCAGCAGCAGCGGTGGTGGTGGCGGCGCCACGGGCTGCCCTCACACCCAAGTGTGGCGGATAAAAATCAGGAAGCTCCCATGGCTGGGAAGGTCCTTCCTGAGGACTGAGGGGTCCCCGTCCCACACCAGGTGCCCTGCTCAGGGTTCCAGTGCCAGGAAGAGAATCCCATAACTTCTGGCTAGAAAATCCAGCGGAAACTGAGGCTCAGGGAAGCTGAAGCGGCTGGAGCCCCAGGCAGCTCCCTAAAGGGCCCACGCACGGACTTATCAGACTCTCTCCCTCTAAGCTTGGAGGGGAGGCAGCTCGAGGGGCACCAGAGACACACAGGGAAGAACTGAGCTGTTTGGCACTGGAGCGAGGGCTGGGGAGGGGGCTTTCTCTGGGACAGATGTGCTGTCAGAGGCCTTTGTTCCTTTGGTGAGCCCTTCCCTGGGGCGGCAGACAGCCACCATATCTGGAACTCCAGCAACCTGGCTCACACTGGTAGCCCCGCCCTGCTGACTCCCTGAGGCCCTGCCCCGCCCCACCCAACTTTCAAGCCCACCCAAGCTGTTGCCACTTGCTTAACCATAGGATTGGCCTGTCTTGGATCCTGCTTCAGGTTTTTCCTAAATTCTTTCAAACGAGCAGCATCTGGTCTCAGCAAGCCCCATACCTCTTATTAAGTAATACACTGAAACAAACACAGGGAGGCAGTCAAAATGAGGAGACAAAGAAACAGGTCCCAAATGAAAGCACAGAACAAAACCCCAATAAAAGAACTAAGGGAAATGGAGATAAGCAACCTAACAGATACTGAGTTCAAAATACTGCTTATAAGGATGCTCAATGAACTTAGTGAGAATCTCAGTGAAGTTAGGGAGGGCCTCAAGAGCATTGAAAAGGACCAGTTAGAAATCATGGATACACAGTTAGAATTGAAGGAGGCATTAACTGAAATAAAGAATAATTTACACAGCTTCAATAATAGAGTATGTAAATCCAAGGAGCAAACCATCGATTTGGAATATAAGGAAGCAAAAAACCCCCAATCAGAACAGCAAAAAGAAAAAAGAATCCAAAAAAATGAGGAGAGTGTAAGGAGCCTCTGGGACAACTTCAAGCGTGCCAACATTTGCATCTTGGGGGTGCAGGAAGAAGAGAGAGAACAAGAAATCGAAAACCTGTTTGAAACAATAATGGCAGAAAACTTTCCTAACTTGGTGAAGGAAACAGACATACAAGTCCAGGAAGCACAGAGAGTCCCAAACAAGATGAACCCCAAGAGGCCCACACCAAGACATATCATCATCAAAATGCAAAAGGTTCAAGACAAAGAGAGAATCTTAAAAGCAGCAAAAGAAAGGCAGCTAGTTACCTACAAGGGAGTTCCCATTAGGCTGTCAGCTGATTTCTCAAAAGAAACTTTGCAGGCCAGAAGGGAGTGGCAAGAAATATTCAGAGTGATGAAAACCATGAACCTACAACCAAAATTACTCTATCCTGCAAAGTTGTCATTTAGAATCGATGGACATATAAAAACTTTCCCAGACAAGAAAACGTTAAAGGAGTTCATCACTACCAAACCGTTATTATATGAAATGATGAAGGGTCTTTTTGAAGAAAAAGATAAAAGGTATGAACAAACAAAATGGCAATGAATACATATCTATCAACAATGGAATCTACAAACAAAACAAACAAGCAGAACAGAAACATTCTCATAGATGCAGAGAACATTTTGTTGGTTGCCAGCTGGGAGGGGGGTTGGGGGAATGGGTGAAAAAGGTGAAGGGATTAAGAAGCACAAATTCATTGCTAGACTGACAAACCTCAAAGGGAAAGGGGTTGGGGGGGTTGGAAGAAATAAACCAAAGAACTTATATGCATAACCAATGGACACAGACAATAGTGTGGGAAAAGGTGGGAGGGGGGCGGGAGTGGGGAGGAGGGGGTCAATGGGGGAAAAATGTGGAACATCTGTAATACATTTTACATCCAACAATAAAGATTTGAAAGAAAAAAAAAAAAAAGTGAGAATTCAGAAGCCACCTAATATAGAATAAGTTTTAAAAAATTAAAGTGAATAAAAACCTCAATTTTCAGAACATGAAAGAAATAACTTACTTAAAGTCAGCTTCTCGTTGAGCCAAATACTGAGTGAACTCCTGTGTAACTTCTTCACGAATTCTAAATTCCAATGTTAACTTTTCTTTTCTTTCATTTACCAGTTTTATTTTCAAGTCTTCTATTAAATCCAACAGTTTCTAAAACATACAAATATTAAAATTCTAATAAAAGAATATATCCCAAGAGAAATATTGTCCAAATATTCAAAATAAAACTTTTCATTTAGTAAATTGTAATTATGCATCTTTTTAACAGTGATAATATTCTCACTGAAAAGTATTTGCAGAGATTCATTAATCTGAAAAATCAGGTGGACCATTTCAAATTTCAGAAAGACTTTGAGTAACTGAAATGTCTCACTGCCTACTATACCAAGAAAAGAAAGGAAAGAAAAATTTGAGCATCTATTATCCCTCACCAGTGAACTGCTTTGGGGAATTAATATTTGATTTCATTCAATCCACACAATTTTCTGTGAGCCTGGTAGTAGCATCTACATTTCCTGGCTGGGGAAAGTAAAGACCAGGTCTGTAGTAAATGCTTACAGTTGGGTTTAAAATTAGTCTGTCAAAATCTAAAGCCTAAATGTTATATAGAGCAGTTACTAAGTACCCCAAAACACTTTCCAAAATGGCAAAAAAAGATGTTACATAAACTTATGCTTACATAAACTATCCAAGTGTGAGCAACAACTCTATAGTCTTTGAACATAAATGTATAATCATGTAATATGGACAAAGAATAAAGCAGTTAACACTTGACACGGCCAAAAAGTTTGTAATAAAATAAATCATAGAATTAAGATAGCCTGATAATCTTCTGTCCTGATTAAAGTTTCTCAACAATACGTTAACTCTCTCAAGTCCATGGATCTTTCAATGTCCCACTTTCATATTTGAAAATACTTTTATAGATATCCTGACTTTGAAATTCCACTTCCAAGAACTTATACTGAGAAAATAAGTATATAACATGACCCAGTGTTTTGGTTGTTAAGCATGGTTATGACAGCATTGTTGTTTGGTAGCAGTAGTTGTGTTTAAATTTTAAAAAGTAGAACCCAACTCCGTAATTACACAGAAGAGATTAGTTCAATTATTGTACCATCAACTACTATAATAATGATGGCTTATATTTTACAATTCATGCTTTTCACATTTTAAAATAAAAAAAAAATGTTATAAAACAGATGTATGGTAAAAATCCATTAAGTAGTAGATTAGAAAGATCTTTATATTTTCCCATCTTTATCCTCTTCCAGGTTCCACCATGATTACATAATACTGTCATAATTTTAAACAACCACATAGTTTCCCACTGTTTAAAATAGTAAACAGTGATTACAGAAGAAGTACTGTGGGAGATTTAGAAAAATCTGCATGAATGTGGGAATACCTTGGGAAGAAAATTGGTTTATCTTAATAATTCTCAACATTTAGATTTTTATCATTGTCAGTATCTGATAAAGATTTTGCTGAAAAAAATTCTGGCTACTTATTCTAAATAAATTGTAAGTCTAAACATTCCAATCAATGTTTTATAACAAATTTCAATGTTCCCAATCCTTCAATTAAAATACTAATATAGCCCTGGCCAGTTTGGCTCAGCAGTTAGAGTGTCCGCCTGCGGTCCGGAGAGACCCGGGTTCGGTTCCCGCTAAGGGCACGTACTTCAGTTGCAGTTTGTCCCCGGCCCTGGTTGGTCGTGCGGGTGGCAGCCACTCGATGTGTCCCTTCACGTCGATGTTTCTCTCTCTCTCTCCCTTCCTCTCTCTCCCTCCCACTCTATCTGTACAAAAAATGGAAAAAATATCCTCAGGTGAGGATAAAAAAAAAAAAAATACTAATATAAAGCTTGCAAAGCCTAATCATTTTCATTTTTAAAATTAGAAAGAATTGCCCTGGCTGGTTTGGCTCAGCAGTTACAGTGTCAGCCTGCAGACCAAAGGGTCTCAGGTTTGATTGATGGTCAAGGGCACATACCTGAGTTGCAGGTTTGATCCCTGGCCCTGGTGGGTGTTGTGTGGGTGGCAATCAATCAATGTTTCTCTCTCTCTCCCTCTCCCCGGCCCACCTTCCACTCTATCTAAAAATTAATGAAAAATTATCCTCAGGTGAGGATTAACAACAAAAAAGAAAATTAGAAAAAACTTTGATGAAATTTTTATTTTATCTATCAACATTATAAGATATGCATTTCCACTATCTATTATAAACTCTAATCCATTAACTGTAGCATCATTTTCCTTAGTAAATTCAGAAATACTGGTAACATTTCAAGTTTAATTGACACTATATATAAACATCAGCTTTAAGATAAGTACGTACTAAAACAGGACTATTAATGGCTGTTTGTCACTGAGGGAAATACTAAACTACAGAAGCCCAAGGTAAGCGAGGTCCAATCACAGTGACCAGACAACTGGAACTAGTAGCATCTGCAGTTTTCATTCTCATTTCCAAAACAGGTGCAAGGATGGCTTTCAAGGACACTGAAGTAAATTATTAAAATTAGTATTTAACCCAATACAGTGTCCATCTACTTGGATTTCTATGGTCCAAAAGAATACTATGATGTGAGATGTTAACACCATTAAAGCACATCCATGAACACAAGGTTACTGTATTTGGACAGAGGCTATTAAACCTTAATTATGTAATTTTAAGATAACCAAGCAATTTGTTTTTGAGGAAATACTGGGTAGACATTTTGAGCTATGTATTTAACAGTGCAAAGTAAAAGTTTGATGTAATATACAAAAATCATTGGGCAAAAAGATATTGAGGAACAAAATATGCACATGGTCTTGAAATATGATCCCACAGATGATATTCTTTTAAACCAGAGAGATCTGAAACACAATACCTTAATGAAGTGAGCAAAACAACATTAGCAAGAACAGGAAAATTAGACATTATGTGGCTCCTGATGTGATGCAATGGGAAATTCACAACTTCACCTATATAACAAGCTTGCCTAAAGTGTTAAAACTGGATCACAAGGAACTAATCAAACAAATCCAGATTGGGGGTAATCTAAGACAACTGGACTCAATTTTTCAAAAATATCTATGCTATATTATATTAGAGATAATTAAAGAAACATGACAATCAAAAGTAATGAGTTAAGTTTAGTTGTAGACGAAAAAAAGTGGCTATAAAGGACATATTGGACTCACTAGAGAAATTTCAATGTGGACAGTATAACAGATATTATTGTATCAATACTAAAATGCTTAGGTATGAAAATGGTCTGTGATCATGAGGGAAATATCAATGTTCTTAGGAATATATGCTGAAGTAGATATAAGGTATCATTATAACTGAATCTTGCTTTCAAATGGTACAGGAAAAAAAAGTGTATTCAAATACTTGAGAATTAAAGCAAATATAGTAAAATTTTAACAAATGGCAAATCCAGGTGAAGTGTAAATGGATATTCATTGTACTCGTCCTCTTGTAGATTTTAAACTTCTTTAAATATAAAATTGAGAAATAAAAAATTTAGTGTTATTGGAAGAGAGGGAGCCTTGCATATTAACTCTAACTTCAGAATAATAATAAGCCAAGCTTAGAAGTATGAGTTAATACATACTCTCTTCTCCTCATGGCTAATGGAAGCCTTGTCTTCCTCTAGTGTTTTATTTAGATCTTCATCAGTAAGTTGAGTCTCCACATTTTGGTTTTCTTCAGCTACTTCTAGATCCTCAACCAAATCTTCATCTTCCACCAGATCTTCCAGACTACTTTCCCATGAAATTGTAGATCTTTTTACATTTAATATTTTATTATCTGAATTATTAATGTCTGATGGCATATCTTGAGAAGATTTGACAGGTCCATATAATTTCTCTTGAGAGGAATTTAAAGTGTCTGGAACACAAACCTGTTAAAATATCCAATGTGACTTTTAATACAGAAAGGCAAGAATTAGAACTGTCCACTAAAAAATAATTTTATAAATATTAAGCCAAATAACAACTAGAGTGTTTAAAATAAAACCAAGGCAAACAAATATTCAAGAAGAAATTGGCACCCTTAAATGAGCATTCTGATAACAAAAAAGCTAATTACACATTATACTACAGGTAAATTTACTGGGTTAGGTTGTTAGTACTACTCCTAGCAGGGGGCAACCCGATTAGCCATAAATAAACCAGAATGGAAAAGCCTACAATTCACTGCAAGAATAGTACTCATACTTTGTAACAGGTGTCTATGATTAACACTTATTACTGAGGTCATTTCAATCCTAGCAGGGGTAACTTTTCAATCTTTACCCACATCCTCCTCCTTGGTAAAACATTTACATTTTTAATTTTCAATTATAATCTTAGATTTGGTTATAAGAGCAAAAAATATTGGCTATTCCAAGAAAAATATCATTAATATTTCAATAATAAGAGATTTAATAGATTCTGCAGAAGTTTGAATATATTTACTTTTTGTGCAATGGCTGAGAACTTCAACACATTGAGTGTTTCGTCATAGGCAAAACAGCATTGGCTAATGTTGACAATCATACATATCTTCCCTTTACCATGAAAAAAACTTTGAAAATAGTGGGTCAGTTTACTCTCCCGGAAAGGCACATGCTGTTGAAACCTATGGAAAAAATTTCAAATAATTATAAGTTAAAACAAATTCCATGAAGTCAAGATGCTGATAAATTTTACAAAGGAATAATTCACCTAGCTATCATGGACTAAATTCTAGGTTAGTGATTACTTCTGTCTGTAAAAGTCATTTTCTGTTTATGCTGTTTTCTTTAAATACTACTACTGCCCTGGCTGGTTTGGCTCAGCAGTTAGAGCACTGACTTGTGGACCAAAGGGTCATGGGTTCGATTCCCAGGCAAGGGCATATACTTGGGTTGCAGGTTCAATCCCCAGCCTGGTTGGGATTGTGTGGAGGCAACTAATTAATGTCTCTCTCTCTTTCTCTCTCCCCACTCTACCTAAAAAAAAAAAAAAATCAATAGAAAAATGTCCTCAGGTGAGGACTAACCAAATAAATAAATACTACAAATAATAATAATACTCATAATTATAACACATTAGGTAAAATGTTAAGAAAGTCACACAAAACTGGATTGTGTTCTTTAGTGTAAAGCAGTTACAAAATATATGCCATGAAACACCTTAACTAGATAAAAATAATGATGACTGAGAATTTACTCAGCCTAAAAGGTTCATTAATGCAAAAATCTATCACATCTAGAAGAACACAATGTAAGAATAAAGGGATTTTAGAGAACCCTATGGTGTAAAGTGCCTATTGATATATATTTGCTATGAAAAATATTGTGAGCCCTGGCCGGTTTGGCTCAGTGGTGAGAGCGTCAGCCTGCGGTCTAGAGAGACCCGAGTTCGGTTCCCGCTAGGGGCACGTACCTCAGTTGCAGTTTATCCCTGGTCCTGGTTGGGTCATACGGGTGGCGGCCACTCGATGTGTCCCTTTCACATCAATGTTTCTCTCTCTCTCTCTCTCTCTCTCTCCTCTTCTCTCTCTCTCTCTCTCTCCCTCCCTCCCTCCCACTCTATCTGAACAAAAAAAATGGAAAAAAGTCCTCAGGTGAGGATAAAAAATATATATATATTGTGGTTATTTCATGAGTCACTAGCATGTACTAACACTTTTTTATTTCTACCATTTTTTTAACCCTAGATTTGAGTATTTTATTTATTTTTTATTTTAGAGAGAGGAAGGGAGAGCGAGACACAGAGAGAAAACACCCACATGAGAGGAAAAATATCAATCAGCCACCACCCCCACACACCCCAACTAGGGACCCAACCAGCAACCTGGGCATGTGCCCCAACCTGAAACTAAACCCACCACCCTCCAATGCACACACTCCAATCAACTGAACCACACTGGCCAGACATCCTCTGAGTATTTTAATTGTAATCTATACATTGGCATTATATAAGGAGCAGGTTAAAAACAACCAAAATTTTCTAAAACTAGTGAAGTTGAAAGCTTAAGTATTATAATACTTAATATGCTAATAACACTTTCAGCAACACTTACTTTGACTTTTCACTGTTCTTCAAAGCATTAATACACTTTCCCAGAGTCAACAAAGACGTGTTGATATTCCCAGTCTCTCTTAACCTTTCACCTTCATTCTGTGTCCTCATGCTTCGTTCTGAACCAGCAAGATCACATAAAGACAATCTGAATAAACGAACAAAAAAATCTTTAAAAGTTCTTCAAAACAAAACAATTAAAAATAACTACAATATGAAAAATGCTCAACTTACTCACTGACTCTCATTACATGAGGCATTTCAGAATTTTCAATCTGTAATATTCGAATAGTGAATATGCTGTGACTAAAAGAAATATACAAAGATCAAGTGTTACGTCTCATTTTAATTTCTGTATTCTAAACAGGAGCATAGCATCTAAATCAATATCTATTTATATCCTAATACTAACCATAGCTTCAGCACTAGATTTTCTAATTAACTGCCAGATATTATCATCCAGTGTTCCACTACCATCTATATTCCCTATGGTCTAAAACAAGTATCTTATCTTTCATTTAGCCCCAAATCTCTTGAACCTACTCCTTCTCTTAACACTCAACTTCTAATCTAATCATTGTAAAGTCTCCATTTGCTCATTATTAGTTAAAATAGTATTATGTAAAGCTAATCTTCTTTAAATATATACCTAAAGCAAAGCATCTATCTGGCCTAATATGGGCTTATCTGGATCATATATTATCTTCATAACAAACTGAGTATGAGGGTTCTTTCCCACTTAAAAAAAAACCTGTTTTAAATATCTCATTCCTTAAACATATTTCCTTTTGTCTCTCATCCCCCAATACCTCCCTTCAAAACATCCAATTTTTTCTAAATGGTTCATTAACAATCTTTTTTTATTTTAATGTGTTTTCATTGATTATTTTTTTTCCTGAGACACAGAGAGAAATAAAGAGGGAGGGAGAGGTAGAAACATTAATGAGAGAGAAACATCCATCAGCTGCCTCCTGCACACTAGGGATCGAGCTGCAACCCAGGCATGTGTCCTAACCGGTAACTTCTTGGTGCATAGGATGACATTCAAGCCATTGAGTCACACAGGTCAGGCAAAACATCCTATTTTTAATCCCTTGAGATTCTCTCTTAACAGTATGCACATAGTGTTTGTGTTCATGGGGTAAATGGAAAAGACACAAAGCAAAGTCCTGCATTATAGGTAACTCTTAACACGTTATGCTCAGATAGTCACATAAAGAAAGTAAAAATACCTCAGAGACTTCATGCAAATTAGTAAATGTGTTGTGAGAACAAGAAATAGCACTGACAGTTTTATGTGTTTAGCACTCTTAGTTTACAGAATGTTTTTATGCCTATGAATTTATTTAACATATCAGAAAACCTACTGCCCACTTTAAATTTCAATTAGTTGTATTTACATTAGCACAGAATAGCCTGGGTGTTTCAGGCTTACCCCATAGGTTTTATTCCTTACCTTCTACTAGAAGCATTGTTCATTTTTGTGAAGGCAACACTCTGGTGCTTTATGCCTAGTTTTAAAAGTCTATACGCTTCTTTGGAATCAGACACTTGAACCCATTGTAGATCTTTAAAAATAAAAAGGACACATATCAATTAATAAAAACCCAGCATTGGTTGTATAATGTAATCTCACTGAATATTTGTAATCTCTTTTCCCAAAGACATTTAATGTAATCTTTATTTTAATAACATGCCCTAGGTGGAGTCAACTCAGCTATTCCATATTCCACTAGAAAAGTGGTACACAAAATAAGAATATTTTAATAATCTTCCAATATTTAAGTTATACAAACATGCAAAGTATGTTCTTTTATAGTCACCCAAAAGAAAAATTAAAACACAGGTAAGCCTGGCGGGTATGGCTCAGTGGACTGAGCATCATCCAATGGACTGAGATCCCGGTTCCATTCCCATTAAGGGCACATGCCTGGGTTGCAGACTTGATCTTCAATAGGGGGTGCGCAGGAGGCAGCCAACTGATGTTTCTCTCTCACATCAACATTTCTCTCTCTCTCCCTAAAGGAAAAAAAGAATCAACAAAAATATTTTTAAAAATCAATAAAAAAATAAAAACAGGTAAGATTCCTTAGAATTAGACATCCAGGGAAAAAAAAGGAAACAAACCACAGTACATATTAAACCTACAAAACTACCTAGCTGTGAAACATTCCAGATTACAACTCATTAATGACTCATAAATCAAATTTATTTAGTCATCACCAGCATGTTATAAAAATGAAGTAGATGCCCTGACTGTGTTGTTCAGTGGTTAGAGCATTGGCCTGAGCACCAAAGGATTGCAGGTTCGATTCCTGGTCAAGGGCATGTACCTGGGTTGCAGGTTTCATCCCAGCCTCGGCTGGGGCGCATGCAGGAGGCAGCCAATCAATGTGTCTCTCTAACATTGATGTTTCTCCCTCTCCCTCTCTTCCACTCTCTAAAATCAATGGAAAAAATATCCTCAGGTGAGGATTCATACAAAAAAATGAAGGAGAATATAGAAAACATCAAAGTGCATTCCTAGTAGTAAGGATAAGTATAATTAATAAAACTTCTGAGTCATAAGTATATATACATATATTTATACAGAGGTACTGGGTCACCATGTTATTATGTATGTATCTCCTACTGCGAGTAGTGGTTTAAAAGGGTTGGAAAGATACCATGTGGAAGAATAGACACATCTCTGAATCCCCAAAGTTTAGACACTTTTACAAAGCAACAGAATAATGTGAATATCAACACACACAGCTTTCCCCATCCTTAAAAATTCAATCAATGATACTCAAATAAACACGATCCTTACTAAAATAAACCTATATTCAGGTTTAATTAACATACCAAATATATTTGCAAAGTACATACTTCACTTATTATCTTAATGTTAATTATTAGTAATAAAATTTTCCATTTCTAGTTTCCTTTATATAGCTAATGACAAAGCCTAGAAAGGAACTTCAGAGCAATAAAAAAAAAAAAAAGTACAATTAGTATACCTTTTATAAAAGAATAGCCCTTTACATCTTGGGAAAGGCGTAGCATCTTTCTCTTCTGGAACTTGGATGACACAGGAACAAACAAGTCATAAATATATTCATTATAAATCTCAAAGAAAGAAACCCACAGAGAAAATTTTATATTATTATCCATATTCAAGCTAGCTTGTTCACAATCTTTCATGGATTCTTCAAACTCTGAGATATTCAAAGAGTTTGTTAAACTTCCTACAGAAAATAAAAGAAGATAATCACAATTAAGCAATTAACCAAAAAATAAGAAAACAGATCAAGACTCCTATATTTCAAAAACTAAGTATCCTTAAATCTTTTGACCAACAATGTTAAATAAGTTTTGGACCAGGGCAGATATAAATAATATTTGTTTTAACCAAAGTCTGGCTTCCTCTTATCTTTTCTTTTTGAAAATATACCAATGAACTAAACTGAAATTAAATGTAAAGGACAAAAATAGAATAGTGTCTACCTTGAATTTAACATGAAAGTTACAACCAATGAAATATGTATCTGTGATATTAAATCCAAATAAAACTTTATAGTAACTGACATTTTATATAATTATGTACTATTTTCCAAGTATTATTATGTCATTGAAGAAATTAAATCACAAGTTTTTCAAAATTTAAAAGCTTTTAAATATATTTTTCATAATCAACATTTTAAAGGTGAGAAAGAAACCTTACCATAAAGACTATCATAATTGTCATTCTGCATAACAACCTAAAACAGAAAGATTTCAGAAGTTAAAAACCATTTTTAGTTAAGATTAAGTAACCAGTATATTAATTACCTATCCAAATAAGTCAACAACCAAATCACCACCCTTCATCTACTTAATTCAATGACTTCTGTCCATTAAATTTTTTTTTATTGACTTGAGAGAAAGAAAGACAAAGACTGAGATTTGTTGTTCCACTAATTTATATATTCATTGCTTGCTTCTTATATGTGCCCTGATCAGGGATCGAATCCAAACCTTGGGAGTATTAGGATGACACTCTAACCAACTAGACTGCCCAGCCAAGGCCTATTAATTTTTTTCCTAGTTAAATAATATTTTCACAAAGGAAATATGGGAAACTACAGTAGAGTATTAAAAAGAGTATCCTATATAATCCCTGCCATTCCGGGGCAATCACTATTAATATTTCAATACATTCCCATTTATTCTTTTCTCCAAACTTACTGCACTGTAACCTTTTTCTCTCTATAATCAGCATTTATTTATAAACATTTACTGGCTGCATAACTGAATAAATATAAAATGACTTAATTATTCCATTATTGAACATTTATACTATTTACAAGGGTGTGTCATTAAAAATAATAAGATAAATATCTTACTATATTACTTTTTATTCTGTATGCTAATAATTTCCTTAGGATATATACCTAAATCTTTTTCTTTTTTAATATTTCTTCTCTATTGATTTCAGAGAGAAAGGAAGGGAGAGGGAGAGATAGAAACATCGATGAGGGAGAATATCGAATGGCCCCTTCCTACATGCCTCCCACTGGGGATTGGGTCCACAATCTGAGCATGTGCCCTGACCAGGAATTGAACAGGCGACCTCTTGGTGCATGGGTCGACACTCAACCAGTAAGCCACACCAGCAGGGCTATTTAACATTTTTAATTTCATAGGAAAAAATCTTATTTTGTTTTAAATAGATAACAGGAAAATTTTTTTCATTATTAATGATTAATTTTCTCTATTATCTATGAAATTATCTACCAATCTCCATAATTTCTGTTAAAATACTATTTTACTTTCACAGACCATAATCATAAACTCTGAATTCCACTAATAAACAACTTTTTACTACCTTGAAACCCTGAGTTATAAATGTCTTAAAAAAGAAAATCCCCACCATATTTTGGTAATATTTATAAAAACTATTGATAATTTTTAATAATCCCGAATAGGATAAATATCCGAAAACAAAATCTAGAAGGAAGAGGAGAAATAGACAAAAAGAAAAAAAAGAGGTAAAAACATAACCTAATAGATACATGAATTGAGGTAGTAAGAGACTTAAAATATATTAAATGAAAGAGCAAGTTAAAGAACATGTGTATAGTAAAACCTCATTTTTGTTTAAAAGACTATATCCTACATACAAAGATATATACTACTACATATATGGCTGTATTTGTGTGTGTATATATATGTACAGACATACACAGGGGTGAGCAAAAGTAGGTCTACCATTTTAAGTATGCAAATCAGCTTATTCTTTATTATTATGTACTATTAAATTATGCATTTGTATTACAATGTATTTGTATTACCTACTTTTGACCACCCCTGTATAGAAAGCTCTGTGTATAGATTTTGTAATACAGAAAAAAAGATCATAAAGGGTATTTTTCAATCTGTTAATGGTAGTTTTTTCTTCAAAAGTGAAATTATAAGAAATTTTCACATTTTATTTTTTCATATTCCTTTCTTAGATTTTGTGTATACATATTACTTTCAATTTTTTTTAAACTTTTAATCATTACATAGTAAGTACAATGCTGTTTCTACACGAAAAGATTTCAGAACCATTTACATTTCTTTTGTTTAAACATTTCTGCTGTTTGTACAATGTAAAACAAGAGATGTCTTCAAACAAGCTTGTAATACTTTTCTCAAAAAGAAAAGACAAGCCCTGCCTGGTTTGGCTCAGCGGTTAGAGTGTTGGCACACGGACCAGAGAGTCACAGTTTCAATTCCAGTCAAAGGCACATACCTCAGTTGCAGTTCATCCCAGGCCCTGGTGTGGGTCATATGGAAAGCAAACAGTCAATGTGTCCCTCTCACATCAATTCTCTCTCTCTCTCTCCCTCCCACTCTATGTGAAGATAAATAGAAAAATATCCTCCAGTGAGTATTAAAAAAAAAAAAAAAAAAGACAGCTATCACAACCATTAACATTCCAATATAGGCTGAAACAAACTAAAGAGCTTATAAAAGGTCATGATTTATATATATTTTAGATACTAAATAAAATACTTCCATACCTCTTTAACTTGCCGAAGCAATGCACTTTTGCTAGCAATTTCTTCTTTCTCTTGGTCTGGTGACAACCGTAAATATTCTCTGGATCTATGTGGTTTAAGGTTCATTTTTGTATACAGCCTTCCCTGAAGACTATCAAATAATACATTCAAAGTTCGAGGCAGAATGCCAATATTTTCTTCTGTGCCTGTGAAAAGAATTTTTGTTTTATACTCCCTCAAAGTTAAGAAAGCAAGAACATCCCTGGACTACCAAGGCTCCTTTTATACCACCATAGGCAAGAGTAAACAGCTAACACAAAAAGTGAAGAATTAGTCAGTTTATCACTTCGGTCTCTACTGCATAATAGACATTTTATCAACTATTATTTTGACACAAAACCTAAAATTTTACCTTCAGATCAAGCTATAGATTTGCAATCACCCATAATCACAAAATATAAAAGTAAAATGAAATATAAAGTGTTTCCCTGGTTATCCATACTTAATTCACTATGTCACATTAATCGTTTTTCTGAATTTTTATGATCTACTTCTCTATCATATAGATAAAAAAGTTTCACAAATGAATTAAATCAATCTGAATTAAAAGCCATCAGGAGTATACATTTAATTATTCTATTACTATTAAAAATGGAGCAAATGTACTAGGTAATGGAAACACAACTAGAAGCAAGTATTATATGAGTGAACATTAGTACTTCCTTTTTCCTTTCCAGCAAAAATAAAACAATTTACCTTGAAATGTGTATGTTTTTCCTGAATTGGTTAGCCCATAAGTAAAAATCAGTCGACTTTGTCCTTTCAAAAAGTCTTTTACTGGCTGCATAATGCAACTCTGGAAGAATTCCTTCTGTGTTGTTTCTGGACCAAAAACCTAAATAAGCATTTTTTTAAAACAAATATTTTTAGAAAATTCAAGTTAATATTCACAATGACTTCTACCCTCTCTCTCATGTTTAAAAATTTTATAATCATTTTATAAGATTCATTCTTAAAATAGGTGCCATATCCCCAACTCCCACAAATACACTTGATAGTTTACCTACTCTCATAAAGTTTTCAAGATAGAATTCTGGCCTAGCCTAATAAGTTTTCATCTGAATTCTGGAAAAAAAAAGTTTAAGCCCTGGACGGTTTGGCTCAGCAGTTAGAGCATCGCCCTGTGGACTGAGGTTTGAGAGTTCAATTCCCAATCAAGGACATGTACCTGGGTTGCAGATTCAATCCCTGGCCCCAGTTTGGGTCAAGTGGGAGGTGGCCAGTCAATGTGTCTCTCTCTTCCCCTCCCTCCCTTCCACTCTATCTAAAATTCAATGGGAAAATATCCTTGGGTGAGGACTAATAAAAAAAATAAATAAATAATATATGTTACTTCAAAAAAAAGATTTTAAGAGCTAAATTGTGATTTATTCACTTCCAATATGTATTTATAGACTTGAAATTTGAGTCCTATCCTTGAAAAAAAAATACTAGTGCCTAAGATCTAAGTTCCATAAGCACAAGATGTATATAGCTAATTATATACAATCATGTAGCACTTTAATCTAAGATAAGTCTCTTTTCCTTAAAAAATCTTGTTTCACATGGGTACTTACTTACCTTAGAAAAACTGAATTTCTGTGCCATCTGCCCAGAGCTTTTCTCACTTAACCGAGCAAGGATACTTTGAGGATCTTTCAGCAGAACAGTCTGTGGGTCCAGCATATACACACAGCCCTTGAACAAACAAATAAAAACAATAATAAATCCCACAATAAATAATTAAAACAATTATATTTTGCCCATTTAATGAAGATGTAATGGTAAAACCCAATTAAATTCGATACAAACCTCAGACTCGTGTTCTTTTTCTGACTGTGTGAATGGTCTTATTCGAAGACAAACCTGAAGATAATCTTTGGAGTCGAAACTATTTGCCTAAAAATGAAGAACAAAATAATTGTACTTAAAAAATACAAAATATGGCTTCTCAGAGATCATCCTTCTTTAAATCAGCTGATTGTTACATAACAATCAATCTGAGATTATACAAAATCTCTAAGCAAACAGTGATTCTTCTGTTTTTAAGCATGTTATATGTATTAAAAAAAAATCTGCTTTTAAAAAAAAGATATGCGCCCTGGACAGTTTGGCTCAGCGGTTAGAGCGTCGGCCTGCGGTCCGGAGAGACCCGGGTTCGGTTCCCGCTAAGGGCACGTACTTCGGTTGCAGTTTGTCCCCGGCCCTGGTTGGTCATGCGGGTGGCAACCACTCGATGTGTCCCTTCACATCGATGTTTCTCTCTCTCTCTCTCCCTTCCTCTCTCTCCCTCCCACTCTATCTGTACAAAAAATTGGAAAAATATCCTCGGGTGAGGATTAAAAAAATAATAATAAAAAAAAGATATGCAAAATTTCCTCTACCTTCTATATTTATACTTAAGGTTTACAAGTAAGTCTTTTTTCCAATAAAATCCTAACCTTTCTAACTAAATACTAATAACAGGGTTCTAAAGCACTAAAACATAAAACTCTAGAATAAATCACAAGTAATCAGAATAGTCTACTAACCCAATTGCTCAATTCCATCATGCATTTAGAGTATTTTTGCTATATAGCATTCTCTTTACTGCTTCCTTTAGGGAAGAAATAAGCCTAGCTCATTTCTTAAAATGAATGTATTATATCCATACAAAGATTTGTACACTAAAGTACATAGGAGCTTTGTTCATAATACCCAAACAGTGTAAACACAAATGTCCACCAGCAAGTGAATAGATAAACAAATAGAATATCCATAGCATGGACAGTAAAAAGAAATTACCTTCTTTTACACACAACATGCATGAAACTCAAAATAATTATGCTGAGTGAATGAAACCAGAGCTCCCACCAAAAAAAAGAAAACATGACTTTATGATTCCATTTATATAAAATTCTAGAAAGTGCATACTCATGTATACTGACAAAACACTGATCAGTGGTGACTTGGATGTATGATGTGAGGAAGGGATTACAAGGAAACTTTTAGGGATGATGAAGATATTCACTATCAGATAGTGACTATCTGATTTTAGTGATGGTCTTATGAGTATATGCATATGCCAACACTTGTAAAAGTTTATATTCCAAATATGTGCAGTTTATTGTATCTTAATTATACACCAAAGCTGTTAAAAATACTTGGCTGGGTGGCTCAGTTGGTTGGAGCATCATCCTGTACACCAAAAGGTCTCAGGTTCGATCCCCTGTTGGTCCATGTACGGGAGGCAATGATTTGATGTTTCTCTCTCACATCAATGTTTCTCTCTCTCCTCCTTTCCTTTCTTTCTAAAATCAATTAAAAAACAAAATATATATATATGTGTGTGTGTGTGTGTGTATATACATATATGTGTGTGTATATATATACATACACACACACCCTCAAGTGAGTATAAAAATAAATAAGCTGTTAAAAATATGGTTTATAATAACATCAAATACCATGAAATATTTACAAATATATTTAAGAAAAGACATGAAAGACCTCTCTTCATTGAAAAATACAAAACACTGCTAAGACCTTAAAGACTAAATAAAGGGAGAAATATACCATGTTCATGGATTAAAATGCTCAATATTATTAAAAGATCAATTCTCTCCCAATTGATTCATAGATTCAATGCAATCCCAGTAAAATATCCCAATAGGCTGTTTTGCAGAAACTGGTAAGTCAATTTTAAAATTAATGAATATGCACAGAACCTAGATAAGCCAAAATATTCCTAAGAAAACAAAGTGAAAGTATTGATACTACTTTATTTCAAGAATTATTATAAAACTACAGAAACAGACAGTAAAGTGCAGCTGTAAGGATAGACAAATAGGTCAATGGAAGAGAATAATCCAGAAATATATCTACATATAGATACAGTCATTTGATTGTCAATAAAGGTACTTAAACAATTTAACAGAAAAAAATTGAAGTATTTTAAACACATAATACTGAAACAACTAGATAAGTTTTCAAAAAAAATCCAACCTGAACCTCTATATCAACTATAAACAAAAACTAATTCAAGATGGATAACAAAATATAACAAAACAAAAGCTACACCCTGGCCTTGTTCCTCAGTGGTTAGATTGCCGGCCCTTGCACCTAAGGGTTGCAGGTTTGATTCCCAGTCAAGGGCATGTACCTGGGTTGCAGGTTCAGTTCCCTGCCCCAGTGGGGGTTGTGCAGGAGGCAACCAATCGATGTGTCTCTCTCAATGATGTTTCTTTATTTCTCTCTCTCTCTCCCCTCCGTCACTCCCTTCCACTCTCTCTAAAAATCAATAGAAAAAATATCAAGTGAGAATTAAAAAAGCCATTTCTAGATGAAAATAAACCTCTAATAAAGACACCATTAATCTGATAAGAGATATGTATCTACTCTATATATGAAGATCTCTCAGAAATCAGTAAGACAACCAACCTAATTTTTTTTTTTTTTTTTTTTTTTTATCCTCACCCGAGGACATTTTTCCATTTTTTACTCAGATAGAGCGGGAAGGAGAGAGAGGAATAGAGAGAAACATCGATGCGAAAAGGACACATCGAGTGGCCGCCACCCACACGACCCAACCAGGGCCAGGGACAAACTGCAGCCAAGGTACATGCCCTTAGCGGGAACCGAACCCGCGTCTCTGTGGACCGCAGGCTGACGCTCTAACCGCTGAGCCAAACCGGCCAGGGCCCAACCTAATTTTTAAATGGGGAAATTAACTGAAAAAATATTTTATAAAAGAAGTTACAGAAATGGCCAACATACTTGAAAAAGTGCTCATTAGGGAAATACAAACTAGAACCCTGATAAGGTTCTACTGCACACTCAAAATTACCAAGTGTCGGCCAAGAAGTGGAGGAACTAAAACCTGTACTACTGGTGCTAGTATAGTCACTTTGGAAAACAAAGTTCCTTATAAAGTTAAATATGAATTTATTTTACTACATATTTAACCAAGAGAAAAGATAACACAAGTTCACAAAAAGGCTTCTGCATAAATGTTCACAGCAGCATTATTTGTAAGGGCCCAAAACTGGAAACCACCCAATATCTATCACATTATAAATGGAAAGAAATATGGCATATCTGCACCACGGACTACTACTTAGCAATAAAAACTAATAAAATTACTGATACATGATGCATGATGAATCTCAAAAACACCATGCTCAGTCAGGGGTCGGCAAATTTTTTTTCTGTAAAGAGCCAGAGAGTTAATATTTTAGGCTCTAAAGGTCCTACTATCACTGCCACAAGTACTCAATTCTGCCATTATAGTACAAAGCAGAACTAGAAAACAAATAAATAAATGAGTATGGCTATTTATTTATAGATAGTGAAGTTTAAATTTAATAAAATTTTCACATCATAAAATATTATTCTTGTGAATTTTCTTCATTTAAAAATGTAAAAACCTGCCCAGCTGGTGTGGTTCAGTGGTTGAGCATTGACCCATGCACCAAGAGGTCGCCAGTTCGATTCCTGGTCAGGACACATGCCCAGGTTGTAGGCCCAATCCCCAGTGGGGGCATGCAGGAGGTGGCCAATCGATGTTCTCTCATATTGATGTTTATATCTCTCTCTCCTTCTCCCTTTCTCTCTCTCTAAAAACAAATAGAGAAAAAAAAATTTTTTTTAATGTTAAAACCATTCTTAGCTTGTGAGGACTACAAAAACAGGCAATACAAAAAAGGCCATTATTTATTGACCCTTGTGTTAAGTGAAAGATGGCCACACAAAAGACTACATAATGTATGATTCCATTACAGACCAAGAGGCACTTGTCTCCTCCTACCTTCTTTTCTCTTTCTTTCATATTAAATGAGCCAAAGTGAAAGAGCCTGACACATGATGGTATTAAATAAGCATTGTTCTTTCATCTTGTTCCCTATACACCCCTTCCCCTTCCATCATTATTTATAAATTGGGTACGTCCCAATTTATAAAGCATCAAAATTAACAATCTAAAAGGTAATAATTAGAATACTGAATCAAAGTCTAAAAAGAGACAAAGCAAACACTACAGTGGTAGTAGGTAGGGTGGTGAAAGGACTTTTATTTCTTTTTTTTTTTTTTAAGTATTTCATGTTTATTGGAGAAACCATACAAACAACAAAATAATCAAAGAAAATAAAATCCACCCAGAATCATCAGCATTTTGTAATATATTCTTCCAGTCATTTTTCCATGTGTGTGCAAAGACTTTTCCTTCTTAAACACTACTGAGTTATTTTAACTTTTAAAAATCTGTATTTTTTTTTTTAACTAAGGCCTGCAATTCCTAGGGGCATAGTGGAAATTGAAAAGGAACTGTTATGTATTCAAGGCACCAGGAAAAAATCACTGAGATAAAAAGTGTGAGAGCTAACAAAAAAATAATTATCTTCCCACCTTCTAAGTTCTTCTAGCTGGGCTAAAAAGTTAAATTAACAGAGACAGACTGATAAGAAAAACTGTCCAAAGTTTAGTATACAAATGTACATTTGAAGGACAATAAGAATATGAAAACCGCAAAGAGGCACTGGGCAATTCAAGCTTATATGCCATTATGAAAAAAAGAAGGGAGGCAGGGGTTTCAAAGGGGAAACAGGCAAAGACCATAATACATGTAAACAAATTCCTGCCAGGTAACCCAGAAACATGGGACCAGTAGGGGGAATCTAGTTAAGAGGCCCTGCTTGGATCCTTCCTACCAAAATGAATTCCAATTAGGCTAAGATGAAAACCGTTATGATAAACATGCTAAGATTCCCTTCCTGGCCTTTCCATCCAAATTGCCTTAGACAGGAAAGGGGGAAGGTCGTTTGTTTCTTAATAACCAACTTAGAATCAATATCCCAAAAGGCTCATCTTTGGATGGCAAAACTTTGGTCCTCTTTAGAAGGTTGCCTTAAATCCACAAAGTTTGGAAAGCTCTGCTCTACTGGTACCTGTTTGCCACACATTTCCACTCAATCATGATTATGTAATATTTTTCTTGTACTTACCTCAGTGCTTGAAGCAACTAAGGAAAATTCACGAGAGAGATCAAGCTTAATGCTGTCAAAATTTACTTCTGAAGGCCTTGCAATCGGGTCAGCACTAAAAACATATGATGGTCTAGGCACCCCATCTTGATTTAAATTAGGCTCCATTCTGCAAGAATAACAACAACTTCTTTAGACATTCTTAATTTTTCAGCATTTCAGACTATGGAGTTTAAAAAGTCTGAGTCTAGCCCATACTTTTGCCCATATAATTAGATTTCCAGAGAAGGAAAACATTGGACTGCTTCATCTATAACATGATGACCCATGGGAAAAAAAAGATCAAATTATTTACAGATTCTGAATCAAATACAACTGGACACAGCCTACCACTATTATCCATATGATCCAACCTATGAATAAATTCATCAAAAGAGATTTCATTAGTAAAGGTAATCCATAAACTAAGACAATATAAAACATTTATATTTCTGTCTAAAATTAAAGGTCAATATGGAATAATACATCAGTAAACTATTACAACTAAATGAAACATCGAGTCACTAAACGTAAATTTAGGGATAACCTTAACTGAAAAAAATATTAAAATTTAAAAATTTACTGAGAATCTACTAGGTGCATAATACCAGGTAGAAAGAGAGCTCCCTCTTGTTTTTTGACATTATGAAATATCCAGAACAGTGACTCCCAAACTGCAGTTCCTGGTTCAAGAAAGTTAATAATGGGCATCCACGGGTGTTATATAAATGAGCCAATATGGACCCTGTATACTGGTCCTACGTTGTTTTCTTCTCCACAGCAGGCCAGGAACACCCACTGAAATGCCAAACTCACATTTTTACACATCCATTTGCTTTTAATATAGCTCAAACAAGCTTATTTTAGCCATTTAGAGCCTAACTGCTTTGCATATCCCATGAAACTGTATCCAACATTTGCTAGCCACAGAACTGTGAAGACCCCTAGCCACTGATGCCCTTTAGATTTTATGCCTCAGGAACTCCATGCTGTGTTGCTGAGTAACATCACTTAGACACCTAAGTCCTCTTTCTGGTTCTCCTCTCCCGACGCCCAGTTCCTTACCTTCTGTCCCCTTCTAGGTAGTGGCCCTTCACTATAGTCTCTGGAAGGTTTCATGCTGTGGGGACTTCTCTTGCATGCAATCCTGTACAAGTGCTACCCCAATAAAGCTCCTCGTGTGCTCCTGCCACTTTGCAGTCATAGCTTTTTCCTTGATAAGTCCTGAAACCCCACAACTCAATATAACAAGGTTGTTTTTCTAAATTGCAAGAAGACTAAGAAAATTTTACATTTACCTTCAACAAGGCCCAATAAACTACAGAATCAACCTCCATACAATTAAACAAATGTAACATCCTATTTTTTTTTTTTTTTTTTTTGTATAATCAATGATGTAATGAAAACAGGGAAAACACTTAAGTACAATTTGCTGGAATATTTCAAACATGCAATTTATGGGTGAAAATTAAGAAAAGGGTATCTGATAGAGTAAAAAATGACCACTGGTCTGGAACATAGGCAAAATGCTTGCAAAAACATTATAGTACTGGCTTGACATTTTATAATTCAGATTTCATACAAATGCTCAGGAAACTGGAAAGTAAGCTTCATTCTTTGCCTTCAATTAATTTTTTTCTCCCCAAAAAAATGTATTGATTATCTTCTATAAAATTCCTGAATTAAAAATAATTATTCCTTAATTAAAAATAATATTTGTGCCTCAGTGGGTCGAGTGTGATCCCATGCATGGAGAGGTCGCTGGTTCGATTTCCAGTCAGGGCACATGCCCAGGTTGTGGGCTCGATCCCCAGTATGGGGGGTGCAGGAAGTAGCTGATTGATGTTTCTATCTCTCTCCCCTTCTCCCTTCCTCTCTATCTAAAAAAATCAATATATTTTTTAAAATAATATTTTTATATCCTTTAAAAAGGTTATAGTACATTGTACTTGTTCATATGCTCATTTTTCAGTAAATATACTTTCTTAACAATTATAAAATTGTTGAGATGTACTGTCACTTCCTATACATATATTTAGTTAACTTCTACTTATGTGGCCTCCCTAAGTAGACTAGAAACTTCTTGAGGGCAAGGACTTTGTTTTATACTACTCTACCTCCTACAACAAATTCGGAGATGTAGGAGTAATGACTGTCTAGTGACTTAAATAATGATAATAAAATCCTCTATACTACCTCCCCTAAAATATGCACTTTTTTTTAATGATAACTTAAACAACAGCAGAGTTCAAGACCTCATTCCTCATTTCAGAAGGCTGTTGCCATGACTGAAAAACTGAATCTTTATCTTTGCTCCAGGAGAGTCCATGATTGAAGATGGGGTGGTGGGTCTGCTACTGAATGAGGTCTTTTTTTCTTTTCTTTTCTTTTTTTTTTTTTTATCCTCACCCGAGGACATTTTTCCAGTTTTGTTCAGCTAGAGCGGGAGGGAGAGAGAAGGAGGAAGGGGGAGAGGGAGAGAGAGAGACAGAGAGAGAGAGAGAGAGAGAGAGAGAGAGAGAGAGAAACATCAACGTGAAAGGGACACATCCAGTGGCTGCCTCCTCCACGACCCAACCAGGGCCGGGGACAAACCGCAAGGGAGGTACATGCTGTTAACGGGAACCGAACCGGGTCTCTCTGGACCACAGGCTGACGCTCTAACCGCTGAGCCAAACTGGCCAGGGCGGAATGCGGTTTCTTAATGTCATCAACAAAATATAACCTCAAAAAATGTCTTCATGACTAATTGATAAGTCCTTTATATTATTTTGCAACTTGAAATCTTGGATCTTGGACATCTAATAAAATATATACACTGCTACTCTGCTTCTGTGTAAACATGCTACCTTATTTTAAAAACAAAAACCTCAATTTGATCACCTTAAACAAGGATCACTTAAGGCCATGAATGTGTCAACCAGTCCTTCAACAAGGAACCTTAGAGAATTGTGACATTAGAGATTAGAGAATCTCTGAAGCAGTGGGTAGAAGATGGGGGAAACCTTCCAACCTAGCTGATGACAGACAGCAATCACTGCACTGGCCACACACACCCCCTTCCTCTTGGCACTGCAAAGCCCCAGGCACCGGCAGCAGCCTGGAAATAAATGCAGAGGACCACGGCTGGGCTCACACGCAAAAGAGGCCACATCATATAAGCCAAGCAAAGTGACACCTCGGGGATTCAGGAAAATAGATTTGGCAATAGAAGCCTATGCCTCAACAACAATTAACAGCAGCAACAATCAAAATGCTAGTGACTGCAAACACTTACTGCTTACTACATACGGGCACTGTTTCTAACAACTTTACATAAATCATTGTATCTTCGCAAGAACCTGAAGAGTAGGTACTTTTATTATTATCCCCACTTCACAAATAAGGAAACTGGGGCCCAGAAAGATTTAATGTTACCTTGCGTCACTCAGCCAACAAGAAGTGGAGACGAAATTTCAATCCTAGCCCAAATGTATGGCACAACCCACCAAGGCGCACCGGGTGCCCCAGGGGCCTCCGTGCTCCGTAACCCAGTTCCCGAGAGTAACCTCAAGGGCGTTACGAGCCTCTTAAAAAGGGGCTCAGATCGCCAGAGCCGTTTCCCCGCCTCGGGCCTGGTATGCGCGTAGTCACCACAGCCTTCCTCGCACCCTCACCTGGGCACCTCCTCACCTGTAAGTACAGCCTAACCTGCCTAACTTGCGAGTACCACGGCGAAGTCCCGGTTTTCAAATTCAAACGATGGCGGCCAGGCCACCGCACTGAATGCTGGGAGTGGGCGGAGCTTTTGGAACGACGCCGGTGAGTCCGCTGGCTCGCGCTGTGGGCTTCCCACCCGCTCCCGGAAGACGCTTTCAAATCTAGGGGCGGATCTCCTAACGCCGAGCGGCCAATGGGTGGGGGGAGTGGGAGGGGCGGGGTACAGAGGGTGGGAGTTTCCCGCGGGGCTGGCGCGCCTTGCTGCGGGGACGCAGGTCTCGGATACCATAGAGACGATAAAGACGCGGCGGAGGCGTGGAGGTGTGGCTGCAGCCGGCCTACTAAGCCCCGCGACTCCCCTAGGGATGGTTGAGGAATGGCCGGTCCCGTCTCTGTGGTCCGGAGAGTCCTTTGAACCCAGCGCCGCCCGCACCCTGAGGGTTACTCCCCCCGGTGCATGACCCCACCTGTCTTCTACAGCGGCCCTAATGAACGGAGTAAATTTTTAACAGAATAGATTTTTACAGGCATTTTCTTTATGTTCCTCTCTGAGAACATAAAGTAGCCACCGCTGGAGGCGTTGTACCTTGACACTCTCAATTCCAGGCATAGGCAAGGTCTTGCAGTGCCCAAAATTAAGTGTAGTACATCCTGTGTGCTTCTTTTTTTTGTTTTGTTTTTTGTTTTTTTTTCATCATCCTCAGCCGAGGACATTTTTCCATTTTTTGTTCAGGTAGAGTGGGAGGGAGAGAGAGGAACAGAGAGAGAGAGAAACATTGATGTGAAAGGGACACATCGAGTGGCTGCCACCCGCACGACCAACCAGGGCCGGGGACAAACTGCAACAGAGGTACATGCCCTTAGCGGGAACCGAACCCGGGTCTCTCCGGACCACAGTGAGCCTCTTCTTTTGAGTGTGGTGCTGTGACATCTATATGGCAAGCATTTACTACTTTGGCCGTCTCTCCCTGCTGTACTTCATTTTAAAGAAAAATAACTGCTAGCCTTAATTGAACACTTATTTACCTTGTGCCCGTCGTGGTGCTAAGCTTATAAAATGGATTGCCTTACTGATCCTGAGAACAACCCTTTGAGGTAGGTACTATTATTATCCGCATTTTATTGATTCAAAGGAAACTGAGTTCATATGATTCAGTAGTTTACCCAAGGTATTTGGGTATTCCTGGTGGAGCTGCGATGGAAACTCAGCCAATTGACTTTAAGACCCACCCTCTTACATGTGATCTCCTTTTCAACTATTTCACTTGGTTAGTAGCATTTTCAGAATAGGTAATTGATGAGCTTACTGTCTTCCTTTCCTTATCATTCTATATTTATATCTCTATAATCTACCCCTCCTCTCACTAACTTCCCACTGTCTCCTCACTCAATTTGCCTTCTTCTCCCACAAAATAATTATATTTGAGGCGAGCCAGTTTGGAGTAGAGAAGAGGATGCAGGGCCAGGAGTAAAAATGAAAGAAAGTAGCTGTAAAAGGAAGAAAGCAGGAAAAATAAAAACGTTTCCTAGTCAGGTTGGAACTCAAGTCGTTAGTGGGCTCTTTGACAGAGTCTCCATTGCTTCTTCAGGGAAGTCTACCCTTCCTGTCATACTTCATATAATATTTTTATTGCTTTTACTAGCTCCTAACTGATCCCCAGATCTCAAACCTTCCGGGTACTACATTTATTTATTGTTTGACACATATTTATTGAAAACTTCCTATGTGCCAAACACTAGGCTAGGAGTTAGGAGGAGACTGAGAAAAACAGACACTAACCTTCAAGGAGCTTACATTCTAATGGGAGAGACAATCAAGTTAAAAAATACAAATAATTGAGAAAGTACAACTGTACTCAATGGTTCGAAGGAAAGAGCTCTAAGACATTATATCACAGGAAACCTGAGTAAAAAATGTTTGGGATCTCCAAGGGATGCTAGGATTTAACTAGATTTTTAGTGTTTTTGTTTTTGTTGGGTTTTTTTGTTTGTTTGTTTGTTTGTTTGTTTGTTTTAATCCTCACCCGAGGACATTTTTTTCATTTTTTGTTCAGACAGAGTGGGAGGGAAAGAGAGGAAGAGAGAGAGAGAGAAACATCGACGTGAAAGGGAAACATCGAGTGGCTGCCACCCAGATGACCAACCAGGGCCGGGGACAAACCACAACCGAGGTACGTGCCCTTAGCGGGAATCAGATCTCTCTGGACTGCAGGCCAACGCTCTAACCGCTGAGCCAAACTGGCCAGGGCTTGTTGTTTTTAAGAGAGAGGACTAAGCCTGGCTGGTGTGGCTCAGTAGTTGAGCATGGACCCATAGAGCAAGGTCGCTGGTTCAATTACCAGCTTGGGCAGTGCCTAGGTTTCAGGCTCATCCTCAGTAGGGGGTGTACAAGAGGTAGCCTATTGTGCTGACATGTTTATAATCCCATAATAGATGATTGGTAAATTATTGTTCTGACTTGTTTATAGCTCCATAATTGATGAGTGGGAAAGTCACTGTGTGCCCTCTAGCTGAA